GGACATGGCTATTGAAGAGATTTGAGTAGAAGTCGTGGATAATCTTCTCCATTGCCGTTCTGGAGGATGTGATGGATCCATTAGGACGTCGGAGGGCAGTCATCTTGGTCTTGTAGTTGGTGAAGGACAGGCGGGCGTAACGAATACTTTTCCCAGCTTCTGCCGCATCTACCAGTACAGGAGTACTGAGAAGGATGAGGAGTGATTAAAAAACAAAATATTTGGTGTGATTTGTCATTGTCAGTTTCTACAAATTTATTTAGGTGGTCTTTAATATTTGATTTGCAGTTTTCACAGTATAGGTCTGTATATCATTTGCCTCTATTAAGATCTTATGACTTTTCTCCTTTTTCCTTAATATGTCATATTAATTTGACTTGAATATTCAGTAAACCTTGTTCTCAATATATATCATAAAGCTCAATATATATAAAGCTATTCAAATTATATTTTCAATTAATAATATATATACCTATTCAAATAATATATATTGAAAATGTCTGATATTTTATTAAGGATTTTAAAAGTTCTTTGTTTATGAAAAACACTGGTCTATAATTCTTCCTTGTAATTACTTCAGTGGATTTTGCTATCCAACTAACGTTCATCTCATGGGATAAAATGAGTATTCCTTCTGTTTAAAGAGTTGTTTATCAAGTTAAGTTTATCTTTGAACATTTTTTTTTTATTCAGTAAAGCCCCCCCAGGTTTGTTTATTTTATTTTTTGCTTCTCACCACCTACTCGCAAGCCAACATTGGTTCCAGTGATTTTTTTCCCCCTCTAGTTATGTTTTTTTTTTTTAACTGCTTACTGCTGATTATTTCCTTTTCTTGGGGTTAATTTACTCTCTTTCTAGTTTCTAGAGATAGGAATTGAGATCACTTCATTTTAGACCTTCTGTTTAGTATCTGGGTTCTATGGAAGTAACTTATTTCATTTTCAAATATTTGGAGAGTTTCCAGATTGGTTTTCAAGTATCTCATTTTAAAGATATATATATTTATATTTTTCTAATTTATTCATACTTTTTTGTTGCCTAGCATTTGTTAATCTTCATGAGTGTTATATTCACATTTATGGATTAGTCATTCAGCTGACAAATGAATATTCTTAAATGTCAACTGGATCAAGTTATTTGATTTTTCTGTTCAAGTCTTTTACATCCTTACTGAATTTCTGTCTACTGCTCAATTGATTACTGGGAAGAGTCTGAAAGTCTCCAACTACCATGTGGATTTGTTTGGTTTTTTTTTTGAAGCAGCATCAGTTTTTTTATGATGTGTATTCTAAAGCTCTGTTCATTATGTACATATGCCTCTAGCATTTGTGAGAAATTGACCTCTTTATCATTTTATTATCTCTCTTAATACTGATTATTTTATAGTTTTATTTTCTTATTCTGTAGTCCAAAACCTTCCAGGTGTTGGTATTTATGACGTGCGTATCCATTCTTCTCTTTTTAAACAAATCTGTGTGTTTAAATTTTGTTTTGTAGATAACATCTAATTTGGTCTTTTGCTCTAAATGTATGTTTGAGAAGCAACCTGCCAATAGAATTGACAGGACCATGAGCAAAGCATTATTTTGCGTACCGTTTATTCTCTCCTTTTTCTCCCATAGTTATTGAATTATTGTGCCTGTCTGACTTGTAGGGGATACATCTCATAATCCTGTATTTCAGTTTGCTATGTCTGTGAGACACGTGTACTTATATGAGGTTTTAAATGAACTTACATCTCTCTTGTGGAGACATGCAGAGTTGCCAAACATTCTGATGCTTAATGTCAAAGCATAATAAGCCTTGCTATATGAATGCTTAGGCTTAGAAATGAAGACTTCTCAAAAGAGATAGTCAGTTATGTTCATGTTTTAAAGGCTATGAGATGCAATTCAGTTGGTAGAAAAAAGAATAAAACTAGATCCCAGTATGTTCATTTTAAGTCCAATGTACTATTATTTTGTCTAATATTTCATCTGTCATTAAGCTTCTCCCATCAGTCACTCATGTCTTTATAACCTTAGAATTACATAAACATATTCATGATTCCATTAGGAAATAGAACATTACATTTAGGCATGTCCTGAAAGTGTGTGACTTGTAACTGGTGAGATAACTCAAATGGAAGAGTATTTGCAACACCGAGCCTAATCCTAGTACCATCAGAACCACTGATTGTGACCCCTGTTAAAACACATGAACTTTAACAGTATTTTTCCCCCTTAAAATGCAGAAAAGTAGAATACTTTTCTCATTAGTTGTCACAGTTTTTAATAAAAAGATGATTTGAGGGGGTGGAGAGAGTACAGTAGGTAAGGTCTTTGCCTTGCCTGCGCACCCAATCCAGATTTGATCTCTGATACTCCATTATGATCCCTCAAGTCTATTAGGAGTGACCACTGAGCACAAAACCAAGGTAAATCCTAAGCACTGCTGGATGTGGCTCTTTGTCCCCCCAAAATTACAATTTATGATTTTTATCTTTCGTTTTGGGCCACACCTGGTGGTTATCAGGACTTACTCCCGGTTCTGCACTCAAGGATCACTCTGGGTGGGCCCCAAGGACCGTAGGATGCCAGGGATTGAACCTGGGTTAACTGTGTGCAAGGTAAATGCCCTTCCTGCTGTACTATTGCTCTGTTCTCTAATTTTCTTGTTTAGCTTCTTTCCGGCACATATTCACCCTTTTGAAAAAAGTACAACCTAGCTGACCAATTTATAGCATTTATAACTGGTCCATTTTCTTTGTATAATTAAAATTTATTTCCTGCCTACCATTAAGTTTCACATTTTCTCTTTAAAAACTGGGAATTAAAATATTTTCATGATACTCCTGTTCTTTACAGAGATGTGATAATTTGCTGTATACTACTCAGTGTCCCTCCCTCCCTCCCTTCCTTTGCCGCACTCAGGGATGCTCAGGGATTACTTCTGACTTAGAAATTATTCCTGGTGGTGTTTGGGGGATCATGTAGGATGCTGGGCATCAAACCTGGGTCAGCTTTGTACAAGGCAAGCACTGTACTATCTCTCCAGTTTCAGTGTCGAGTTTTTCTTAAATTGACAAGAAAACACCTTTTTGTTTCTTTTGTGCTCAAGAGTTACTCCTGGCTCTGTACTTAGGGATCATTCTTGTTGATGGTGCCCCCCTGGGGGACCATATATTCTATTAGGGATAGTAGGCCCAGAGCAGAAAGTATATTAACCCTGCTTCTGTCTCTCTATCTTGAGTTTGGTTTCTGTTCTCTCCCCGCCCTGCCCCCCAGCCCTTACTCTCCCCTTCTCTCTCCTCCTCCTCTCCCTTTCCCCCTTTCCCTTCCTTTTCCCCTTCCCCTTCCCTTCTCCCTAGGGCCTTACACAAATAAGGCAGATACACCCCATCCTTTGTCCTTGAAGTCTTTTCTTTCTGGTGTATCTTACATTTGGGAGTTAAGTTCAGATAAAGACAAGCTAGGGTTGTAATTTTTTTCTTGGGGGGGAGGGGAGCGGACATACCTATGGTATTCAGGGACTGTTTCTGGTTTTGTGTACTCTTATACTCTACTAGGGTATAATAAACGCTCAGGGGATTGGCTGCGTGTAAGGCAAAAGACTTTACTGCTGTACTATCTCTTTGGCTTCTCCTTTGTAGATTTTAAACAAGCTTTTATGTTTGTCCTTTGTGAGATCTCAATTTTATTTTGTAGGTCCAGAGAAAACCAGAGCTTGCTTTTCTTTTTTTTTTATTTTTTTGTAAGAACTATCCTCTCTTCCCTGCAATGTAGTTCTGTGAAGCTCTATTTAAAAATATTAATAGATGGGGGCTGGAGCAATAGCAGTGGGTAGGGAGTTTGCCTTACTTACTGGCCTGGGTTTGATTCCCAGCATTCCATATGGTCCCCCGAGCACCACCAGGAGTAACTCCTGAGTGCATAAGCCAGGAGTAACCCCCTGTGCACCGCCGGATGTGACCCAAAAGGCAAATTGTGTGTGTGTGTGTGTGTGTGTATTACTTTACTAAATAGGGCTGGAGCAATAGCACAGAGGGTAGGGCATTTGCCTTGCACGCAGCCAACATGGCCAACCCAAGTTAGATTCCTCCTTCCCTCTCTGAGAGCCCTGCAAGCTACCAAGAGTATCTCGCCCTCACGGCAAACCCTGGCAAGCTACCCGTCACATATTCAATATACCAAACACAATAACAATTGTCACAATTGCCTCAATGTTACTGGGCCCACTTGAGCAATTGATGAACAACGGGAGGACTGTGACAGTGACAGTTACTAAATAATCAAAAAAAACATGAGACTGAGGGATTCATCAAATTAAAAATTAAAATTTTACTTATTGCTTACTATATGAATATGGTATATTTATAAGCAATTCACATCAACATAAAAATGCTTTCTGCTAAGGTATATTTTGAAGATACTGTGAAAGAACCAATCACCTTTTGGATGAATTATGTTGGTTTAGGACTCATAGTTACTTTAAAGGGCTGAGCGATAACACAGCGGATAGGGCATTTGCCTTGCACGCAGCCAACATGCACAACCCGAATTCGAATCCTCCGCCCCTCTAAGAGAGCCAGGAAAGCTACCGAGAGTATCTCACCCGCACGGCAAAGCCTGGCAAGCTACCCGTGAGTATTTGATGTGCCAAACACAGTAACAACAAAGTTTCACAATGGAAACGTTATTGGGCCTGCTCGAGAATATTGATGAACAATGACAGTGACAGTGACAGTTACTTTAAAACTTAGATAGCCTCTCAGGTCTGTATTGCAAACCATAATGCCCAAAACTAGAGATAGCATAAGAAGGAAATTGTCTACCATAGAGTCACGGGGTGGGGTGGGGGTGGCAGGAGGAATACTGGGATATTGTTGGTGGAAAATGTACATTGGTGGAGGAATGTTCATTGTATGACTGAAACTCAGTCATGAAAGCTTTGTAACTGTATGTCACAGTGATTCAATTAAAAGAAAAGCTTAGAGTGCAATTTTTTTGTTTGTTTTCCAGTTGGAGTCATTCGATGTCCAGTTTGTAGCCAAGAATGTGCAGAGAGACACATTATAGATAATTTTTTTGTGAAGGACACTACTGAGGTTCCCAGCAGTACAGTAGAAAAGTCTAATCAGGTAAGTATTGAATCTTGAACCTTTTGCATCTTTTGATGAGGTGTCCTAATTGGAGACTGTAAAATGAAACATGTCCACCAGCAATATCTGTGAAATGATATAAATCTTTGAAAATTATCAGAAGTGGGCTTGAAGGGTAGTACAGTGAGTAAGGAGCTTTCCTTGCATGTACCTGATCTGGGTTTGATTCACAACATTACAGATAGTCCCCCTCACCTTCACCAGGCGAGCCCACAGCCGGGAGTAAGCCCCTAGCACAGACTTTGGCTCAAACACAAAGTCAAAGGAATAAAGCAATGTCTGTGCAGAAATCCTGAAGTCCCACCCCACTCATCTCTAATTCTCTGTCCTCTGACAGATTCTATTTCATTTTGACATTTCCTTGTAGTTTTTTATTATTTTCATAAAAATAATTCACAAATTTGGACTTTTTAAAAAAACTTTTTATTGAATCACAGTGAGATGCCCAGAAGGTTGTTCATGATTTTCAGTCATACAATGTCCAACACCCATCCCTTCACCAGTGTACATTTCGTACCACCAATGTACCCAGTTTCCTTTCCGCTTCCACTTCCTCCAACTTATTAAATGATATATGAATAGAAGAACATCCTGTCTTAAACAGAAAGGTACTATAAGACTTGCATAAAATGGAAAGGTTTTATAGTTAGAAGCTTATTATTATTTCAGATAAAGCCACCTTTTTTTCAGAGAATAGTAGAGGGAGTCTGCAGGATATTACCTCTGTGGTGGCGGTTTCTAAACTCCTGTATGTTGATTTGGGACAGGGGGAGGAAGCTCAATGGACTGCAGGGAGCACTGGGTTCATTCCCTGCCACCTCATGGCCCACTGAGTACTATCAAGGCAACCATGAAATCTGAGTCAGAAGTAGGGCCCCCAGCTACCCAGCAGGACCAGTGTGCTCTCCTCGCAAAAGGAAAAGCAGGAGAGAAAGGACCATACTTTTGGATGAGAGGTTGAAACTGCAATTCGATTAGATATTAAGTCTGGATGGAGGCATACGGAATCTATTTGAAATATGTTTTGATATTCTAAACACTATTGATATGTTTTTAATTTTATGATTGCTTTTTTCAAGTCTTATACTTAATTTTAAGGTAAAGGTAAAGGCCCTCCCGTTGATCGTCGATTTGCTCGAGCGGGCCCAGTAACGTCTCCATTGGAGACTTTGTTGTTACTGTGTCTGGCATATCGAATACTCGGTAGCTTGCCGGGCTCTCCGAGAGGGGCGGAGGAATCGAACTCGGGTCGGCCATGTTGGCCGCTTGGAAGGCGAACGCCCTACCCGCTGTGCTATCGCTCCATTTTATTTTATTTTATTTCTTAAAAATAAAATACTTAATTTTATTTTTAAGAAATTAAAAAAATTATTTTTTCAGGGGATATGATTAAGCCCAGTTCTCATGCAAGCAGGGATGTGTTTTACCTGAGTTATATTCCTGGCCCCAGTTTTTCTGTTTTAATGATAAAAATTGTGTTTATTCTTATGAAAATTCCCTTTGATTTGTAAGTTTTTTGATTGTAAGTTTGATTTGTAATTTACTTTTTTCTATTCAATATTTCTAAGAAAGTTTTTATTAGGAGCATCATTTAGAGAGCCACAGGTGGTATTCTTTCTCCTTTTTACTTATTCTTTCTCTCTTATTCTCCTCTTTTCTTTCTCTCTTCTACATGTAAGCCACGTGTGTGGTATTTCTGTTAAATCCAGTGTCAGGGTGAACTGCTGTATTCCATAGGAGGTGAGCTTTGATTGATTCTTTATTGTGTCTAAGGAGAGGGCATTAGTCTCCTTTCAGACCATGTTTCATTGTTTTCTCTATGCAGCTCCTTTCATTTGGAACAGATCTGTGAAGAAACTGAATCTGGGTATAGGAAAATGATTATTAATCTAAAGTTTAAAATATGAAAAGTAATGTTTAGAATTTCATATAACTAGTCATGGATAGGTCATGTAACTAAGTTCCTTCCCTTTTGTTTCATTTTATGCTGTTTCTTGGGAGAACTATATGTCCACTGTCGTCCTGTTGTTCGTTGATTTGCTTGAGCGGGCCCAGTAACGTTTCCATTGTGACAGTTGTTACTGTGTTTGGCATATCGAATACGTCACAGGTAGCTTGCCAGGCTTTGCCGTGCGGGCGAGATACTCTCGGCAGCTTGCCCGGGGTCTCCGAGAGGGGTGGAGGAATCGAACTCGGGGCGGCCATATTGGCCGCTTGCAAGGCAAACGCCCTACCCACTGTGCTGTCGCTCCAGCCCTGGGAGAACTATATAGGAATTTTTAAAAATGTGGATTATTTGGGTTTATTTATTTATTTTTGGTTTGAGGATCATACCCTGTAGTACTCAGGGCTTACTCCTGACTTTCTGTTCCCAGACCACTTGTGATGGGGCTCAAGGAACCATATTGGGTGCGAGATATTGATCAGCTGCTTAGAGAGGAAGCTGTACCCTAGCCACTATACTCTCTCCAGCCCCAGATTTTTGTTTCAAAAGTATCCTCAGTCCTACCTAGTGTGAACTTTAAAAAAAGTATTTGCCACAGAGAATAAACTTAAGTTGTTGTAAGAACAACTTTTTTTTTTTAATTTTTATTAGTGAAACACCATGAGGTACAGTTGTAGACTTACAAATTTTTCTACTTGGGTTTTTATTATACTATGATCGAGTACCCATCCCTCCACCAGTGCCCATTTCCATCACCACTGATCCCAGTATCACCCCCACCCTTCATCCCCCCCCCCCCCAATTCCACCTTGCCTCTGTGGCAGGGCATTCCCCTTTGTTCTCTCTCTCCTTTTGGGTGCTGTGGTTTGCATTGAGTGGCAGTCATGTTCAGTCTATAGTCCACTTTCAGCATGCATCTCCCATCCTGGGAGGATCCTCCCAACACCTTTGTTTGGTGCTCCCTTCTCTATCTGAGCCGCCTTTCCCCCTAGCATGTGCGGCTGGCCTCCTAGCCATGGAGTGAACCTCCTGGTACTTATCTAGGCTATTATTGGGTGTTAGTCTCCTATTTTGTTACTTTATATTCCCCAGATGAATGCAGTCTTTCTATGTCTGTCCCTCTCTAACTCATTCCACTTAGCATGATACTTTCCATGTGGTACCACTTGTATGTAAATTTCATGACTCCATCTTTTCTAACAGCTACATAGTACTCCATTGTGTAGATATACCAGAGTTTCTTTAACCAGTCATCTGTTCTTGGGCACTCAGGGTTTTTTTTTTTCAGATTCTGGCTATTGTAAACAGTGCTGCAATGAACTAACAAGTGCAGATGTCACTACGGCTATACTTTTTTGCCTCTCTGGGCTGGAGTGATAGCACAGCAGGTAGGGCATTTGTCTTGCATCAGCCAACATGACTGACCCAAGTTTGATTCCTCCGCCCCTCTTGGAGAGCCGGGCAAGCTACCGAGAGTATCTCACCCGCACTTTGGGCTGGGAAGATAGCACAGCGGTAAGGCGTTTGCCTTGTGCGCAGCCAGCCCGGCCGAGCCGGGTTCGATTCCTCTGCCCCTCTCGGAGAGCCCGGCAAGCTACTGAGAGTATCTCGCCCACACAGCAAAGCCTGGCAAGCTACCCATGATGTATTCGATATGCCAAACACATTAACAACAAGTCTCAAAATAGTGACATTACTGGACCTGCTCTAGCAAATCGATGAACAACAGGAGGATAGTGTTTGTTTGTTGTTTGTTTGGGATATATTCCCAGGAGTGGTATAGCTGGGTCAAATGGGAGCTCAATTTTTTGAGAATCAACCATACTGTTTTCCAAAAGGGCTGAACCAGTCGGCATTCCCACCAGCAGTGAAGGAGGGTCCCTTTCTCGCCACATCTATGCCAACACTGGTTGCTTTAGTTCTTTTGGAAGTGGGCAGTCTCTGTGGTGTGACATGATATCTCGTTGTGGTTTTGATCTGCATTCCCCTGATGATTAATGATGTAGAGCATTTTCTCATGTGCCTTTTTGCCATTCAAATTTCTTTGAGAAAGTTTCTGTTCATTTTGTCACTCCATATGGCCATTTTTTGGTGGGCTTGGATGTTTTCTTCTTGTAGAGTTCAACCAGTACTTTGTGTATCCTTGATAACAACCCCTTATCAGATGTGTATTGGGCGAATATCCTTTCCCATTCTGTAGACTGTCTTTGTATTTTGGTCACTGTTTCTTTGGAGGTGCAGAAGCTTCTTAGTTTAAGATAGTCCCATTTGTCTATCTCTGTTTTCACTTGCTTGGCCAGTGGCGTGACATCTTTGAAGATACCATTAGCTTCAGTGTCATGGAGGGTTTTGCCAACTTTGTCTTCAATGTACCTTATGGATTCCAGTCTGATGTTGAGGTCTTTAATCCATTTTGATCTTACTTTTGTACATGGTGTTAGGCAGAGATCTGAGCCCACGTTTTTGCATGTAGCTGTCCAGTTTTTCCAGCACAATTTGTTAAAGAGGCTTTCATTGTTCCACTTCACATTTCTTGCTCCCTTATCAAAGATTATATGATTATATGTTTCGGGGGAGATGTCAGTATATTCAACCCTGTTCCATTGGTCTGCAGCTCTGCCTTTGAAGAACAATTTTTTAAAGGATTAAAAACTTTATTTGTGTGAAGTTCATGCCCAATTCAATCAGCTAATCAGTGACTGAATAAATAGCAGTACTCCTACATTTAAAAAAAAAACTTTATTTGTGTGGGCTCTGGTGTCAAATACCTAACCCTTCTGAAAGTTCTATTTTGAAAACTAATATTTTCTAGATGTTATGTGACTATTTATTTTAGATATGATTTGTTAGTTCTATCACTCACCAATTACAGTTTATCTTGAGAATGCTGGCAGTGTGTGTGAAAGCTTAATCCAGAAAATAAAAAGCTAAATTCTGTAATCAGGAGGGTGGAGTAATGATATGAAATGACTGAGTTGTGAATTCAAGAGATTCTAATCTAAACAACCAAGAGGTTGCTTTATGACTCTATACA